ACTTTTTTATTACAATTAAGAGTGACGTTTCGGTGTAGGTTCTAACACCGTTATCAAGCAAGTATGCAGAGTGTGGTTGGCAAGTATATATACAAGTAGGAGGCAATGTTTATACAGTAGAGTATAACAATATCTACTCTACTCTGCTGATAAACATTGCCTCCTACATTGCCTCCCACAAACACATGCACAGGCAAGGTAAGTCTTTGCCTGATAAACAATGGGATGGATGGTACTAGTCAAAAAAGGGAATTGCATTGGTCATCATTTTGGTCACTGATGGTTCAAAAATGGAAATATCCTCCACATGCAAATCATAAAACGTTTTGAAAGCCATACTAAGGTCTTTGAAAGATATAACCTTGATCAAACAACATTTGAGCAAGAGCCATAAGAGTTGCATGCACAATTGGAGAGTAAAGTCGATTAGATGACCTAATGGGAAAGTTTACTAATCAAGCTGATCTGGGTGCAACCAAGGGCCGCAACTCAGCAAATTGATGACATGGCCACCCCTGCTACTCCACGTAGTAGTGATCATGAAATTTAGTATAATTTTTTCCAAATGAATCAAATCAGTGATCAAACAGGAAAGAGAAATCTGGTTCAGATCAATGAATAGTTCCTTGTTTGATTAATGAATTTTATTACTTCCAGTATTTGTGACAAATTGTAGTATTTTATTGGCACTGGTGACACAAATATGTCATTGCGAATGTCAGCAAATGTTAGTGTGATTGATTTATATGAGTGTGTCCAGTGCTAATGACGAGGTCCACAGACACTGATTTCCTCTATGGCCACCCACGTCCGGCTGTCTGACTTAACGCCTCAGACACTCACATAGGGAGGATGTTGAAGTCTTAAGAAATGACACCAAGACGGCTGCAGTTAACAGACATATATATAACAAGTTGTAACCTTGTAATTATTAGTTAAATCATATTCCTTGAGCTTAAACTCTTGGTCTTAGGTTTCATCTGTTAAAGACATGATGATACATAAGGGTATGGTTGGATAGCCTGGTGGTCAAAGCATTGGCTCATCATGCTGAAGAACCAGGTTTGATTCCCAGTATGGATACAGTGTGTGGAGCCGATTTCTGGTGTCCCCCTGCCATTGAATGGCTAGAATACTGCTAAATAGGGTGTAAGGCTTTTTTGACTCACTCACTCAAATGTCCACATTCTAAAGCAGCATGGCTTGTGTCGAGTGAGTGAATACACTTTACACCACAATCAGCAATATGTTGCCTGAGTTAAATTTGTATTCAACTAGAGATATTACCTCTGTCTCCCTGTCTACAGACAGAGATGTTACCTCTGTCTACCCTGTCTTCAGTCAGAGATGTTACCTATGTCTACCCTGTCTTCAGTCAGAGATGTTTCCTCTATCTACCCTGTCTCCAGACAGAGATGTTACCTCTGTCTACCCTGTCTTCAGTCAGAGATGTTACCTCTGTCTACCCTGTCTTCAGACAGAGATGTTACCTCTGTCTACCCTGTCTTCAGACTGAGATGTTACCTCTGTCTCCCTGTCTTCAGTCAGAGATGTTACCTATGTCTCCCTGTCTTCAGTCAGAGATGTTTCCTCTATCTACCCTGTCTTCAGTCAGAGAAGTTACCTCTGTCTACCCTGTCTTCAGTCAGAGATGTTACCTCTGTCTACCCTATCTTCAGTCAGAGATGTTACCTCTGTCTACCCTGTCTTCAGACAGATATGTTACCTCTTTCTGCCTGTCTTCAGTCAGAGATGTTACCTCTGTCTACCCTGTCTTCAGACAGAGATGGTACCTCTGTAACCCTCTCTTCAGTCAGAGATGATACCTCTGTCTCCCTATCTTCTGTCAGAGATGTTACCTCTGTCTACCCTGTCTTCAGTCAGAGATGTTACCTCTGTCTACCCTGTCTTCAGTCAGAGATGGTACCTCTGTAACCCTGTCTTCAGTCACAGATGATACCTCTGTCTCCCTGTCTTCTGTCAGAGATGTTACCTCTGTAACCCTGTCTTCTGTCAGAGATGTTACCTCTGTAACCCTGTCTTCAGCCAGAGATGTTACCTTTGTCCTCCCTGTCTTCAGACAGAGATGTTACCTCTGTCTCCCTGTCTTCAGACAGAGATGTTACCTCTGTCTCCCTGTCTTCAGTCAGAGATGTTACCTCTATCTACCCTGTCTTCAGTCAGAGATGTTACCTCTATCTACCCTGTCTTCAGACAGAGATGTTTCCTCTATCTACCCTGTCTTCAGTCAGAGATGTTATCTCTGTCTACCCTGTCTTCAGTCAGAGATGTTACCTCTGTCTGTCCTGTCTTCAGTCAGAGATGTTACCTCTGTCTCCCTGTCTTCAGTCAGAGATGTTACCTCTGTCTACCCTGTCTTCTGTCAGAGATGTTTCCCCTATCTACCCTGTCTTCAGTCAGAGAAGTTACCTCTGTCTACCCTGTCTTCAGTCAGAGATGTTACCTCTGTCTACCCTATCTTCAGTCAGAGATGTTACCTCTGTCTACCCTGTCTTCAGACAGATATGTTACCTCTTTCTGCCTGTCTTCAGTCAGAGATGTTACCTCTGTCTACCCTGTCTTCAGACAGAGATGGTACCTCTGTAACCCTCTCTTCAGTCAGAGATGATACCTCTGTCTCCCTATCTTCTGTCAGAGATGTTACCTCTGTCTACCCTGTCTTCAGTCAGAGATGTTACCTCTGTCTACCCTGTCTTCAGTCAGAGATGGTACCTCTGTAACCCTGTCTTCAGTCAGAGATGATACCTCTGTCTCCCTGTCTTCTGTCAGAGATGTTACCTCTGTAACCCTGTCTTCTGTCAGAGATGTTACCTCTGTAACCCTGTCTTCAGCCAGAGATGTTACCTTTGTCCTCCCTGTCTTCAGACAGAGATGTTACCTCTGTCTACCCTGTCTTCAGACAGAGATATTACCTCTGTCTCCCTGTCTTCAGTCAGAGATGTTACCTCTGTCTACCCTGTCTTCAGACAGAGATATTACCTCTGTCTCCCTGTCTTCAGACAGAGATGTTACCTCTGTCTACCCTGTCTACAGTAAGAGATGTTACCTCTGCCTACCCTGTCTTCTGTCAGAGATGTTACCCTTGTCTCCCTGTCTTCAGACGGAAATGTTACCTCTATCTACCCTGTCTCCAGACAGAGATGTTACCTCTGTAACCCTGTCTTCTGTCAGAGATGTTATCTCTGTCTACCCTGTCTACAGTCAGAGATGTTACCTCTGTCTACCCTGTCTTCAGTCAGAGATGGTACCTCTGTAACCCTGTCTTCAGTCAGAGATGATACCTCTGTCTCCCTGTCTTCTGTCAGAGATGTTACCTCTGTAACCCTGTCTTCTGTCAGAGATGTTACCTCTGTAACCCTGTCTTCAGCCAGAGATGTTACCTTTGTCCTCCCTGTCTTCAGACAGAGATGTTACCTCTGTCTACCCTGTCTTCAGACAGAGATATTACCTCTGTCTCCCTGTCTTCAGTCAGAGATGTTACCTCTGTCTACCCTGTCTTCAGACAGAGATATTACCTCTGTCTCCCTGTCTTCAGACAGAGATGTTACCTCTGTCTACCCTGTCTACAGTAAGAGATGTTACCTCTGCCTACCCTGTCTTCTGTCAGAGATGTTACCCTTGTCTCCCTGTCTTCAGACGGAAATGTTACCTCTATCTACCCTGTCTCCAGACAGAGATGTTACCTCTGTAACCCTGTCTTCTGTCAGAGATGTTATCTCTGTCTACCCTGTCTACAGTCAGAGATGTTACCTCTGTCTACCCTGTCTTCTGACAGAGAAATTACCTCTGTCTCCCTGTCTTCAGTCAGAGATGTTACCTCTGTCTACCCTGTCTACAGTCAGAGATGTTACCTCTGTAACCCTGTCTTCTGTCAGAGATGTTATCTCTGTCTACCCTGTTTACAGTCAGAGATGTTACCTCTGTCTACCCTGTCTTCTGACAGAGATGTTACCTCTGTCTACCCTGTCTTCAGTCAGAGATGTTACCTCTTTCCTTCCGGTCTTCAGTCAGTGAAGTTACCTCTGTTACCCTGTCTTCAGTCAGTGATTGTTACCTCTGTCCTCCGTGTCTTCAGCCAGAGGTGTTTCCCCTGATACCCTGTTTCTTCTGTCATCAGGCAAAATATGAAGGCTCCTTCAGAAAGAAACCCCGAAATATAGCATCAGACCAGTTCTTAATCAGTTCTTGAATCCACTTCAGAAGAACATTGTTTTATTCATGTTCATGCTGCCAATTTGCACGCCTGCAAGTTAGAAATAAAATCTATTTGTTGCATTGGTTTCATTATAGCACATCACAGCTACAGACGAGCAGTGATGGACTGGTAATTGTTTCAAATTGTTTCCGTCTGGCCATCTTGGATCTTGAAGTGGACCACTCTCCAGGAAATGTTGTTAGCCCAGTTGGTGAAATTCACACCTTCTATCATCAAAATGTTCTGCACGCAGCTGGTAAAGATGGTATCTGTATTATACATGCTGAGCAACTGTTTAATTTCATCTTAAGTTCTGTGCTGTGAAGAAGGGTTCATAGGACAAACAACAGCCATATGTCAATACAGGAATAGCCATAATTTTTCTTCTATAAATATTCTGAAAATGGAATACATAATGTCATTGACGTTGTGATATTCTATTGTGAAGTGCAAAGTGCCAAATATGAAACCAACAGACATGAACGATGCATTTACCTGTTGGTTTGTAGAAATACTTGTAAGAAATGAACATCACATGTGCACTAATTTCAGGTCTTTTCACGTTGTTATTGAAATATCTGAAATATAAATGTATTTATTAAACAGACACATAAAAAATTATTCACAAAATAGGAATAAACCAAAATCACAAATTTCCATGAGCTACAAGATTTTTTAAAAGTTTGGGTTGAATTGATTTTTCATCAGTACAGTACAGAGTAAAACAAATGGGAGCCACTTTCTGATCAGTTTTGTTAATTTTGCTCTTCATTTTGTTATGGACTTAAATTAGTGGAATTTGAGTTTGAAATTTTGCTATAAAGTTGAATTGTGAATATAGAAGATGCATTGTGAATAGAGACAGTGTTGGTGTGAGTAGAAGCAGTGTTGGTGTGAGTAGAAGCAGTGTTGGTGTTAGTGCAGGCAGTGTTGGTGTGAGTAGAAGCAGTGTTGGTGTGATTAGAGGCAGTGTTGGTGTGAGTAGAAGCAGTGTTGGTGTTAGTTGAGGCAGTGTTGGTGTTAGTGCAGGCGGTGTTGGTGTGAGTAAAAGCAATGTTGGTGTGAGTAGAGGCAGTGTTGGTGTGAGTAGAGGCAGTGTTGGCGCAGTGTTGTAGAAGCAGTGTTGGTGTGAGTATAGAGGCAGTGTTGGGGCAGTGTTGGGGCAGTGTTGTAGAAGCAGTGTTGGTGTGAGTATAGAGGCAGTGTTGGGGCAGTGTTGTAGGAGCAGTGTTGGTGTGAGTAGAGGCAGTGTTGGTGTGATTATAGAGGCAGTGTTGGTGTGAGTAGAAGCAGTGTTGGTGTGAGTAGAGGCAGTGTTGGGGCAGTGTTGTAGAAGCAGTGTTGGTGTGAGTATAGAGGCAGTGTTGGGGCAGTGTTGGGGCAGTGTTGTAGGAGCAGTGTTGGTGTGAGTAGAGGCAGTGTTGGTGTGATTATAGAGGCAGTGTTGGTGTGAGTAGAAGCAGTGTTGGTGTGAGTACAAGCAATGTTGGTGTGAGTTGAGGCAGTGTTGGTATGAGTATAGAGGCAGTGTTGGTGTGAGTAGAGGCAGTGTTGGTGTGAGTATAGAGGCAGTGTTGGTGTGAGTAGAATCAGTGTTGGTGTGAGCACAAGCAGTGTTGGTATTAGTTGATGCAGTGTTGGTGTGAGCAGAGGCAGTGTTGGGGCAGTGTTGTAGAAGCAGTGTTGGTATTAGTTGATGCAGTGTTGGTGTGAGCAGAGGCAGTGTTGGTGTGAGTATAGAGGCAGTGTTGGTGTGAGCAGAGGCAGTGTTGGTGTGAGCAGAGGCAGTGTTGGTGTGAGCACAAGCAGTGTTGGTATTAGTTGATGCAGTGTTGGTGTGAGCAGAGGCAGTGTTGGGGCAGTGTTGTAGGAGCAGTGTTGGTATTAGTTGATGCAGTGTTGGTGTGAGCAGAGGCAGTGTTGGTGTGAGTATAGAGGCAGTGTTGGGGCAGTGTTGTAGAAGCAGTGTTGGTGTGAGTATAGAGGCAGTGTTGGGGCAGTGTTGTAGAAGCAGTGTTGGTGTGAGTATAGAGGCAGTGTTGGGGCAGTGTTGTAGGAGCAGTGTTGGTGTGAGTATAGAGGCATTGTTGGGGCAGTGTTGTAGAAGCAGTGTTGGTGTGAGTATAGAGGCAGTGTTGGGGCAGTGTTGTAGAAGCAGTGTTGGTGTGAGTATAGAGGCAGTGTTGGGGCAGTGTTGTAGGAGCAGTGTTGGTGTGAGTATAGAGGCAGTGTTGGGGCAGTGTTGTAGAAGCAGTGTTGGTGTGAGTATAGAGGCAGTGTTGGGGCAGTGTTGTAGGAGCAGTGTTGGTGTGAGTATAGAGGCAGTGTTGGGGCAGTGTTGTAGAAGCAGTGTTGGTGTGAGTATAGAGGCAGTGTTGGGGCAGTGTTGTAGGAGCAGTGTTGGTGTGAGTATAGAGGCAGTGTTGGGGCAGTGTTGTAGAAGCAGTGTTGGTGTGAGTATGGAGGCAGTGTTGGGGCAGTGTTGTAGGAGCAGTGTTGGTGTGAGTATAGAGGCAGTTTTGGGGCAGTGTTGGGGCAGTGTTGTAGAAGCAGTATCAGAACAACAGCTGCAGCTTTGGTGCAGCATGTGCAGTTTCAGTAGAATCAATGATGTTGCAGTTTCCAAAGATGGAGGCTATTGTGGTGTAAGTGTAATCCAGGCTCTAACCCATATATATATGTTAATATCCAGAAAACCAGTACACATGGGTGATGCACACGACATGTCATGTCAGCTGATTGTTCACATAGAGGCATTCCAAAGTTAGATTTATTAGGAACAGGAAAACAAAATTTCATGTGAAAACAAATTACTGGTTTTGCAAAAGCAACTTCCATGATCATACCACAATACAAAACAGTTATGCAATTTCATTACTAGCACAGCAATGTGTTTTTACTGTGCACAGAAATATCTTATGGTATTGCAATGTTAATATCCATATTGATTTATTTTATGCATACTCATATGATTTTCACCCAAACCTTTTTTCCCCAGTTCGGTACAATCAGTACAAAAACTGGGCATGAGAAAATGTCAGTTGTATTTGATATTTCTTTGAATCAATATCATTAAAAAACGAATTCCTATCAGTGTGTTGTATGAGGGCGCATTATATTTACATGTTGGATCTCATCAAGTTGCCCGAAGGTGTGCATGTTCTAAGTCATCAGAGAGCACAAGGAAAAGGAATTGATTAGTAATATATTTGTGTCCTGACAAACTTTGTTTCACTGACACCACCACTACCTCAGACCATATCAGTCACAGAGCTCCAATCAATGGCAGAGAGCGAGACAAAGTATCAGCCAATGAGAGAAGCTATTACATAGCTGAGAGATTGCAATTAGATTACAGCAGATGGACAGTACTATTTGTATGAAGCTCTGACTCTAGCAGTGCTGCGACAGCTTCATTCCAAGCAGCGTCACAGCCATGCGTCCTGAACGCTTGCGAATTCCCCTTAATATCTCATCATCTCCTCTTCTCAGTCTGTTGCTGACAGAACCCAAATCAATGTCAGTAAAAAGGTATACTTGACTTGACATGGCATTGATCCAGTTACCCAGAGACACTGGCTTTTGATTAAATGAAATACACTTGATGCCCACGTCACTGTCAGTGTGGACAATCTCCCAGTCTTACGTCGCCCCAAAACACACCAAGAAATATGCTTAATGTACAGGGTATTTGCACATCCATCTTCTGAGTGGTGATACAACATAGTAAGATACACAAGGGATTGGTACTTGAGATGAGAGACACACTTCAAGCAAAGATGAAACTTTAGCCACATTATTTTACTTTGCAGGTTTATGGATCGACCAACTGGAGCCAATGTCCACCAATCAAACAATAAACCGAGGGCAGTTCTTGGGTTTATGAATATTTCTCGTTGTTGAACGCGAAAATGAAAAATGACATTTCAGATGAATTTTATTTTTTTCAAAAGTTATTTGAATGCCTGTTAAACATGTCTCACTTCACTTGAATTTGTACATTCATAAACTGTATTTATATATACCAATTATTTGTTGCAGACTATGCAGTATCGTCTGTGACATCTCTTCCAGTTGATGCATTTGGTTAATTTTACATGTTATTTGGTTTTCTCAACATTGTTGGCATTTATATCGTCCTACTTGCTATTCACATCATTGTGGTGAAATATAATATGACTGTGAGTAAAGGCTACATTCCTATCCTGTGCATGTGTTTGTGACATAGGTTTAGCAGAAACAAAACAATTTTTGCATATGTGGACTATTATTTTCAAGTTTGTCAATGTATATAGTTCTAAAGGTACCCCATTGTCTATTTTGAGGAATTAAACAAAAGGACTCTCCACTTCTAATTTTTTATAAAAAATGTATTACCTTGCTTTATTGTATTTGTGTTTAAAAAATGAAAGGTAAACCTGAAAATGGTATTAACTAATAAGAATTAACTCACTGAGCTGTAAATACTTGTTGCTGCAAATATATTTGAAGAGAGTATGCTTTTACTGTTTTCATTGAAGCAGCAAGTCTGTTAACAAATGGTTGGAAAACCATGAAATGAAATCTAGTGGAGCCTTCCTGGTGGGCAGTATTCATCAAGATTTAGAATTCACTGTTGGTCATCAATGGACACAATACCATGGCCTACTTGGCACAGATACAGGAAAGAAAATGATTTTAAAAAAACACGGTGGGAGCACCTATTTACTTGAGGAGTTTTGAACAGTATTTCAGTTATCTTTCAGGACATGAGTTTGATGTGGGAGTAAACTGATGCATGTATTAGATGCTTATCACTTTGATACTTACAGTGTCAATGATAGACCCATCATTTTCTGTTTGTAGTGGTTTAATGCTGCACTCAGCAATATTCCAGCTATATGCCTGCAGTCTGTAAATAATCAAGTCTGGACAAGACAATGTAGTGATTGACATCATGAGCATCGATCCACGCAATTGGGATACGATGACATGCATCCACCAAGTCAACGAGCCTGACCATCTGATCCCGTTAGTCGGCTCTTACGACAAGCATAGTCACCTTTTACGGGAAGCATGGTATGCTGAAGACCTATTCTAAAACGGATCTTCACGGATGCCATCATATTCTGAGGAGGGAAGGTTCACCTAGTTCAGGGAATCAATTCTGGGATTTACCAAAATCATTATAGGTATGTGATGTACACCATATATCAAGTCATTGTTAACTGTATATTATAATATATTTACCACCAAGCTTGATTCCATCTACACAAATCTGACACTTGACAGATGTGTCATGCAATGGTGCAAAGGATATTGGCAATAATGTGACACGGACATTAAATCTGAAACCCGTTGGAAATTGTCCCTCCAATCCTACATTCATCCCTTATTCTTTAAAGGAAAGGGCTAGGGATCCTAGTCTTGAAGCACCTTTTTGAATCCTTGCAAAACATCCTGAAGACATTCATTTCCTCTAACCAGAAGAGAACATGAACATCACATGGCATCACCAGCCATTCCCTGGGAATACTCCAGTCATCACCATCTACTCACCTAGAAATACTCTGGTCATAACAATCTACACCTTAGAAATACTCCAGTCATCAAAATAAAAACCCTAGAAATACTCCACTCATCACCATCTACTCCCCTAAAAATACTCCACTCATCACAATCTGCCTCCCAGAAATACTCAAGTCATCACCATCGACCCACCTAGAAATACTCAAGTCATCACCATTTACCTCCAAGAATTACTCAACACATCACCATCTACACCTAGAAATACCCCACTCATCACCATCTACACCCTAGAAATACTCCACACATCACCATCTACACCCTAGAAATACTCCACTCATCACCATCTACACCCTAGAAATACTCCACACATCACCATCTACACCCTAGAAATACTCCACTCATCACCATCTACACCCTAGAAATACTCCACTCATCACCATCTACACCCTAGAAATACTCCACACATCACCATCTACACCCTAGAAATACTCCACTCATCACCATCTACACCCTAGAAATACTCCACTCATCACCATCTACACCCTATAAATTCTCCACACATCACCATCTACACCCTAGAGATACTCCACACATCACCATCTACCCCCTAGAAATACTCCACACATCACCATCTACACCCTAGAAATACTCCACTCATCACCATCTACACCCTAGAAATACTCCAGTCATCACCATCTACTCCCCTAAAAATACTCCACTCATCACAATCTGCCTCCCAGAAATACTCAAGTCATCACCATCGACCCACCTAGAAATACTTCACTCATCACATTTACACCCTAGAAATACTCCAGTCATCACCATCTACTCCCCTAAAAATACTCCACTCATCACAATCTGCCTCCCAGAAATACTCAAGTCATCACCATCGACCCACCTAGAAATACTTCACTCATCACATTTACACCCTAGAAATACTCCACTCATCACAATCTGCCTCCCAGAAATACTCCACACATCACCATCGACCCACCTAGAAATACTCAAGTCATCACCATTTACCTCCCAGAAATACTCCACACATCACCATCTACTCACCTAGAAATACTCCACACATCACCATCTACTCCCCTAGAAATACTCCACTCATCACCATTTACTCCCTAGAAGTACTCCACTCATCACCATCTACACCCTAGAATTACTCCACACATCACCATCTACACCTAGAAATACTCCACTCATCACCATCTACACCCTAGGAATACTCCACACATTACCATCTACACCCTAGAAATACTCAAGTCATCACCATCTACACCCTAGAATTACTCCACACATCACCATCTACACCCTAGAAATACTCCACTCATTACCATCTACACCCTAGAAATACTCCACACATCACCTTCTACACCCTAGAAATACTCAAGTCATCCAACATACTACATCATGCCAGTATCTCCTTGATGACATTTTTTTAAACACAAGGTGCCACCAGTTTCTCTCCTTTCTCTGGAAGAGTTCACACTAGGAACTCTTGATGTTACAACAAACAACTATAAGATCTTGTTGTCAATCTCCAGTAAAGCCTGCTCCAACTTGAGTAAGAAAACCAAACACTGAATAACCCTAAAAGATAATATCGTCTTCACTTCACATGCTCTTGAGAAGACAAGGTCAGAACTCTACACACCAAAGTTGTTGCAACCCCAAGGAAACACTTGTCTTCATAGAAGTAATTTCCAGTAGCTTCTTAGCATGGTATTCAGAATGGAGTGGACTATGCATCATTGTTGATGCATGTACAATCCTGAATCATCATGCATCGCAATGTGACTGTCACATGATTAAGCTCTCTAACTCTCCGATATCATGCTTCCTCACTACCCAGAGTTCATCTCTGATATGCCTCACCTTCGTTCACGTTCCGCTTTGGTTCAATACTACTTTGTGACTAAATCATGAAACTTAATAAGGCGGTGCACCAAGTGTGGGCACTGTTTCACCATTATTCAAGTTGTGTCACTTCATGCCATTACCGTAAGACTCTAGCGTCCCCAGACTTTCAATCTCTGATTGGTCGCTTACTGCTTTATTGACCTAGTGATTGGTTCA